AACCCTATACCCCTAAACCCCTCAACCCCTCAACCTTGAACTAAGCTTGGGGTTCCCGGGCATCGGCTTTCACAGCTTCGTGGTTCGTGGGTGCACGCCATACATTAAAACTAGCGGGCTCTATTTTGGGGGTTCCTTATATTGTTCTAGTAGAACATACTCCAAAACCCTCGTCTAATTATCAGGGCCCCTACATTAGAATCTTCGTGTTGAGGTTCGCCATCTGGGTTTCGCGTGTCGTCTTTCTGCTTTTCGCACTCGCCTCGGCCGTGCTGCTTGTGTTCTGGGCGCGGCACATCAACGAAGAAGCATATGCCGCTCGACCTGAGTTCAGATCGCCACCGCGGGTAGCAACAGAGAAGCGATAGTCACAGCTGTGCATGATCTTCGCTCACTGTGCTGCATCTGCTTCAGCTTAACAATCATGGTGTGGAGTCCGTTGCATTTTCTACCTGTGCTGGTATATGATAGTACTAGATCGATCGGGGCACGCTACACCCTAAACCTAGCATCTGCGGTGTTTCGTTTGGGTCCGAGGGCGGAGGCTTAGCGCTTCTGTTGAGAAGCCCCCAAAAGCTCTGAACCCTGAAGCCTCAAGCTACTCCAAAAAAGTCGAAACGGTCAGAAACCCCAAACCCGAAACCCTAAGCCCGAATGGTGCATTTCAACCTTAAAACCATTTGAGCGGTTCAGAGACCCAGTTATTTTGTCGCGTGTTTGGCGATAGCAACTCCTCAGCAGAAGTATTGGGCCGCGTCGCAGCCCGAAAGAGCTGCGGCGCGATCAAGAGCACCTGGACACACACACACACAGACACACACACACACATATATATATATATACACACACATACATACATACATACATACATACATACACACATGCATACAGTAGAAGCCAAAAAGTTGGAGCATCATCATCCTCAGTCCTAAAAGAGAAGTAGAGGGAATCCCCGCAATAATCATCCTGAAACCCTGTTTCAACTTTCTGCGGCTCACTGTATCTATATACACGTACATACATACATACATCGGTAGTTCACTAAATCAGGATCCGTTTTTGGGTCCCCAATACGGTTCGGCACCCTTCATCAAACCTAAGAGGGACCCAAATTTAGAGAACGACCCATATACAGATTCGGGTTTAGGATAGGGCCTCAGGAAGGGATTCGACCCAGAAGGTTGCTGCGGCTATTTTCAACTTTGCTGGCGACCAATGACCCCGAAACTCTACCGTCGAAGTACAAACTGCTAAAGTCCAAGAAATTGCTTCGGGGTTTAGGGTTTTTATGGGCTTACGGTCTAGGGAGAGTCCAAAAAGTTGCCCGCGATGGTGGTGTTGCATCAGGTCGTCACCTTTTTCGTAATGGCCATTGCTGCTCTGGCATACCTTGCGAAGATCTCAGGCACCTGCGCCGAAAGGTTACCCCATGATAAAGTTTTTTGTCGGCTAAGTTTCTGTAAGGGTTGCTTGAAGGGTATAGTGTAGTATACGGTATACCACATCCACCTCCACAGGGTGAGCTCAAATACTTAAGGTCCATATATTGCACCTTTGGTGTTAATCGGTCACGCACAGTCTGTAGCGACAACATGTCTGGCTCTCTTGCAAAGCGCACAGATCCCTCAGTAGTAGAGAGGTAGTGTAGTTGGAACATCACCTTATTCCGGTCCCAAAGACCTAAAGATAAACCCTCAACCCTAAAAACCCATCCCCGAACCTCGAAGAGATAGTGCTCAAGCATGCATCATTCCTTTTCATCGAATTTCCATGCTCCAAACCTCGGGTCTCCACTTTCTCAACTCAACAGGTGCAAAAAGGGACTTAGTCAGTGTTTTTTTAACATAGCCTTAAGGAATAATGCCGGGACTTGTCCAGGCCCTAGAGCCCCGAGGACTTTAACTCCTAAGACTTTCACTGCGAGCTTCCCGGCGCGTCTTCGCAGCCACTAACCCCTAAACACGAAACCTTCGAACCTGAAAATTACATAAACGCTAAAACCCTAAACCCAAAAATTACGTAAAACCCTAACCCGAACCCCTAAACCCCTAGAGCGAATGACGGTTGAGGCATGGGGGAGATCAAGCTCGGTGGCAGGAAGCTACCCATCATCCGGTGCGCCTCAGATGGGTAGAGGGGCAGGAGTAGTTTAATGAACTTTTAATTTGTATCATGCAGCTGTATATATCTGTATGTTATCTATATGTAAAAAAATTTTTTATATATATAATAGATATGATATATACACGGTATGTAAAGGTTTGCCTGAGTCTTAGAGTGCAAAGGGCTTAGGGCCTGGAGTTTTGGGCCTCAAACGTGGGATCCAGGTTTGGGCTTAGACCCTTCGAGGATCCCGGGACCTTGCGGCATGCATCGTTTTCCCCCATACTATGGGGGGGGGGGGGTCGGAATCACTACCCACCGCAATAATCTTCCCGATGTTTCCTTACACGATCATGCCCCTAAAACCCTATTCTGACTCTGAAGGCCCCTATGTGACATCTCCGGTGCTCTGCGATTGCGGTTGCAGCGGGTAGGCCTCTACTAGAAGTACCAGCGCTAGTCCTTAGAATTTCGTTCTACTTGTGTCATATGTCTAGTAGAATATACCCCTAACACCCATGTAGCAGCCGGAAAGTCCATGAAACAGGAAGCTTGCGACCTTGAAATCTGAAGTCAACGCCGTGCGCATGCGTGCAATAAAGGGGGCCTAAAATTACCAATGCTTTCTTCATTGAGGGTTCATACTAGAGCATGCCCCCAAAATCTTGTCCAAGTTCTTAATAGCTCCTGTACTCCCTGGCTTCGAAACCCAATCTTAGTAGCTGAGTAGGTAACCTNNTTTTTGGGCTTATATAATCCTACCATGATTGAAAGGTTAACTTGTTTTGGGCTAGGGTACTCAGCCCGTAAGCAATAGCAGCGCCAGGTACATCGACTAACCTTTAACCCTAAACCCTAAATCCAAAACCCTAAACCCTAAACAGGTACATCGACTGGATTACTACAACGCCCCTGATGCTGTTCGAGCTCTGTGTGGTCGGAGGGGCCGCTCCCTTGCTGCATAGAAGGCTTGTAGGGTTTTGGGGCCCCTAAACCCTGAAACCCCTATACCCTAAACCCTTAAACCCTAAAGGGTTTAGGGTTTATAGGGTTTAAGTGTAGCCCGGAAGTGTTTTCCAAGAGCCTTTGAGTGCGAAGCCTTACAGTGAAAGGAGCCCTTGCAGAGCCACTGTAGAGTAGAAGCCTGAGAGGAGCAGTATAGTACGCCTAAAGAGCCTTCCCGAAAGGAAGGCTAAAAAGAAGCTTCAATCAAGAGGACTCCTTACAGGAACCTTTTAAAGAATCTTGCACTAACCCTCACGAAAAAACCTCGTCGGGACACCCGGAAAGCCGTAAATAAAGCTTAGAGGAGCCTTCAGAAGAGATTCGGCTTTAGGGTTGAGGGGTTTTGCTTCGGCTCAGGAGAAGCACACGGCCATTCTTGTCATCGGTTGCGATCTGCTGATGCTCACAGGCTGCGGGAGCAAAGGAGTAAGGATTTGTTGCTTGTGTTTTTTTGCTGTCAAGGGTTGAAGGCTTTAGGGCTTGTCCTTGGAAGGATTTGGCACATTTTGGGTCCCTGGGGTTTAGGGTTTGATGTCGTAGTTTTGGGTTTTCAGTTGAGGGGCCTTAGGCTTGGGCCGTCTCCCTCTTGCACAGGTGGCATCGTCAGCGCCATGATTGTGCCAAAGGAGCTGGGGTTTCTTGCGATCCCACGTAATTAAAACGGTTGTTCATGGGCTTACGATGCTTACGGTCCAGCACGGAGGTTTTAAGTTTGAAGCGGTTTTAACCCGTGGTTGTGAGCTCACGGATGTCTGCAGGTATCATGATAGGCAAACGAATGCTGCTGCAAGCCATTCCATTCAGTCTGAATTGTACCTCGGTGAGCGCGAACGATGTCACATGTTACCGCAATTAGGCTTGTATTGCACCCTATTTTTGCTATACACATGATATGAAACAGTATGCAGTGCATTATCATTTGTACCGGAAGCTCCACCGTGTTGTTGATTAATGATGAGTGCAAGAATACTCCAATGAGATGAGCAGTCAAGCTCAAGAGGTCACTGCAGTCATATTTTCTCAGGCAGCGCTGATGTACCGGTTTCGTCAACGAGCTACCTGAGGCTTAAGCTGCAGCACAAACCAGGACAAGTTCCTTGTGGAAGCTCGAGTTTTTTCTTCACACAGTGGCCCACCCTCCCACCCAGCGCCAGTGATGAACCGATCAAAGCTACTGTAGATGGCATTCAATGCTAATCATTGTCACGAAAACGCGTTCGAAACTTGTTTGGTTGAATCTTGAGAACAATACCAGCTGGCATGTCGTACTTGAACACGTGCTTGAGAATGGGTGCATGCTTGCACAAACATCGTTGAACAGAGCGGATGTGAACTGAACGACTGTATCGCAACAAAGCAAGGACAGTCTTTTTGGGATTTTGTGTGAATCAAACTCAAGGTTTCACGACGAGGATGACCGAGCCATACTGTCAACGAAGAGTGGTGATGCAAGCCACGTGTATGCTTGTTGGTTCTCCAAAGCCGTACTGTTTCGGTACGGCCACGTAAAATATGCATGGGATGACAACTGTCGCGGTGTATGTACAGATGTGTGTTCAAGGGTTTCCTGAAAGTTTGCCAAGTCAGACTACCAGCATCATGAGACAAGACGAGATCAAGGAACGCCTCAGGATGCTTATAGAAAGATGCACGGCCATCGTGTGCCGCAATTTCGCAAATATTTTCGGGTCTCCACGAGTTTTGGGTACTTCTGACGGCATCGATGTCCACAAACAACGGAGTCATCCACAAGCCTGGCGTAGAACGCAACACTGTCTGCATGAGTTTGCATGACCAGCCTACTCATTTCGTTGGGGTAGATGTTGACTAAGTCTGGGGTTATCCAGTGGTTTTTACCGAAAGTTTGAAAGAGATCACCTCGATGTATCAATTTTTGTTCGAAGGGTTACGTTCAGCAACTGCGCAACGAAATCATCAATACCAGGATAACTGTGCTGCCGATAAACTGGGCTGATCAGTTCCTCAGTCAGGTGCTGTTGTGCATGCTTGGGTAGAGGTTCTTCACATCAACTGTGGCAAAATTGTAATTTGGTGGCACAGACTTGGGAGTGTGGTTAGATAGGAAATCTGCACTGTTGGTAACCGTGTGCTTCAGCTCATCTTGAATAGGCCGTAACATGCTGCAAAGAAACAAGCAAACCGGAGTCACCCAACTGCATGACATGTTGGCGATGGGGCGTCCGACGATCGGACTCTTGTGGAGTCTGAGCCTGAGCCTGAAACTTCTTTCCTTGCGCTTGAAAATATTTTGTCTGAGGAATGAAGCTTCGCGTGGTTTGATGATGCGGATGTCTTGTGCATGTTGTACAACGCTGTCCAAGGCACAAAGTGCAAGGAAGGATCGACATCGGTATTCTCTTGCTTCGATCTTCTGGTAACCCTTATCCAAAAGACGTTTGAGCTCGGAAGAAACCCAGCTTTTGGGCATCAGAACATCACCCAAACTTTATCCGTGTCAATATAACCACAGCTTGGTTCTTGTGTTTCTTCAGCACAAGCTAACACGTTTGCAGCTACGTGCTACTTGCTGGGTGTAGTTTCGGTTGCTGTGGTGCAATGTGACGCGCCTAACTCTAAAGATGCTGGTGCATCTATTCTGTTGCACTGATGCTTAACCCACGTCATGTACTTCACTGCTGACAGAGATGACTCGCTTCATGCGTGACGCTACACACGCCCGCAGCATACGGCGTTGTGCCTAACTGGCGGCATGGAGTCATGTTGTCACACACTTGTGTATGCACTACCACCGCTTCTCGGAGGCATGAAGATGAACATGTAGACATCTAAAGTGCCGACTTATGTGTACATGTGGGAGAATTCGCAGGGTTTATGTACACATAAACAAACCTGTACACACACACAGCTGCCTGCATACTATGCAGAGACAGTGCCAGCAGATGCGAACGTGTAGACATACCAGCACCCCCAAAGCCTTTTGTCTCGTGATTTGGCCCTGGTATGCGCACTCTGTTGAGAGGAGAAGTCGCTTCAGCGCAATCTTTGGTTCGGCATCTCAGTGTTCTTCTTCGTTATCATGGTGACGGCGCTACAGGTGTGGACGGTCGTGTTCGCTATGGCACGAGGGGTGCATAACATGGCGCTACAAGAAGTTTTGGACAAGTTTTGTGAGACTTGGTATCGAGTTATGTAGCGAGTCAGCAGGAACAATACACGGCAGTAGGGTTAGTAGTCGCTGCAATAACTCCAGCACAGATGGACCCCTCTGTACTCTTTTTTTCAAGCCTGGGATTCCTGCCCATTTCCTACTTGCGTGAAGACTCGCTTTGGAACCTTGAAACTTGCAATATCACCCACATACGTACGACTGCTGAATGTCATGTAGATGGTCTATGCGATCATTTGCGATAATGACTCTGAGCCAATCTTGCAACTGGCCATGGAAACCATCCCTTGAGGTGGATGTGGCTAATGGCACCGTGCTCGAGCGTCCCCCAGACGTGCAGCAGCTCCGTCTAAAGTTTGGCGACATTTTTTCAACCCCACACAATATCTCTAGACATATGCACATATACACAATACATATGTATATATATATATACACATATGTATATATATATGTAGTACTATATGTATATATATACATACATACATATGTACACGTATAAGTTTATGCAGGTAAAGATACACACATATATATATATACATACACATCTACACACATACATATATATATATGTATATATATACATAGTATTTTTTGCATGGACAGTTGTATTTTTTGCCGACGCATACACATATGTATGCAGACACGCATGTGAAAGTAGGTTTGGGTGTTATTGTTTATGCTCAGGTGGGTAGACAAGACAAACCGCTATCATGATACAACTAGCTCTACATCCTGTCTCATTATAGACTTTTATATCAGTGCATACATAGATACACAGATATACACACAACTGTACCTTCATCTTTATAATAACTTACCCTTTATCTATATCTTTGTGTGTATTCCTGCCTCTATCACTGTATCTTTCTGTCTGTATGTATCTACATAGTTACATATATATGCTCGTCTCCACATAGCTATAATCCTACATACTTTTGGATATACATATATATATATGCATACATATATCCATACATAATATTTCCCTAGTGTATGTATCTATACATGTATATATATATGTGTGTGTATGTGTATGTGTATGTGTATGTGTATGTGTATGTGTATGTGTATGTGTATGTGTATGTGTATGTGTATGTGTATGTGTATGTGTATGAATGAGACTATGAGTATGAATACGACTATGAATATGCTTTGGTAGATAACCTAAGGAAGGCTTGTCCGAATCTGTGCCAGCACGTGAGCCCAAGCCACTTAGGTCTGTCTTAACTTGGGCTTCAGTTGCTCATTCTGGTCCGTTTTTTCGTGTGCTGCAGTTGCCTGATTGCTACGTCCTGATCCATGTTCCTGTCTACGCAGCCCAGGAACTCTATCTTGTGAAGTCTAGGATGTGAGATGAAAGAACCGCCGCTCAACCCAAAACCTGAAAGCCCGAAACCCCTACCGAACTTAAACAGCTTGAAGCACTGAAACTTCTCAACAAGAGACATCCCAAAACATCAAGACCCCACAAAGCCCACAGAGAACCCCCTCAAGACCCAGAAAGCCTAGACCCTAAACCCGACACCGGTGGAGGCCGTAGTCTTTCCATGTCTGCGAACCACACCAGGCAGCTATTCTCGTACCTCAAGTGGCTTACGATCATCTCATGGTCTGGCAGCTGAGCTCTCTTTTTTGGGGGTTTTAGGATTCGGGGTATAGGGCTTGGGGTTTAGGGTTGAGGGAGTTAAAGTCCTAAGCCCAAGCTAGGGATGCGGGTTTAAGGAGATTAGGGGTGTTTAAGTTACACTCAGGGTTGACGGTTAGGGCGGCTCAGGGTTCTACTAGTAGGAGACATCTGTGTGCATACGTTTTGTTAGGGGTTTTACAGGGTTTAGGGTCTACAGGGTTTAGGGTTTATTCATGTCGACTCACATTCTACATGCGACGTGGTTGAATCTTCTACAGCATCCGCAAGACGACTGCTAGGCAAGTCGGCATCTAGTTAGTCAAGGCGTACATACAAGCATGGACCTGGATGATTCCTCTGTGTTTATCTTCACCATCTGTGTGCGACTACCGTCGCATGAACTTTCAAGCCCACAAGCCACAAACTCATTGGCCATTTTGGGCAGAACCCCAAAGCCCTAAACCCTAAAAAGAACCTCAGGCTATCCTGTGGTCGTTTTGCTCGGGCGAGCGCATTTCGGCTTGATCTCGAAGGGCATGGAAGATGCCTTGCTGTGCATTTTGGATTGCATCTCCAAGATTGGCATGGAGTTCTTCGTGGTCATCAGCTGCTCAGGAGAAGGCGCCCAATGCCATGCCAAAGATGGCAAGTAACATAAAGGCCCGAATAACTGGGCCTTTATACTTATGTTTTGCGACGGGTTCTGGTCGACAGATCCATGCCGACCAACAATTTTAAGATTTTCTCAAACGATGGTCTTTCTGTCATCGTCCGCCCAGCCACGTCTGGGATGGGCCGGTCGCTTCGGCTACGACTTGGCCCCATGGCACTGGTAGGACAGCTCTGTTGCACTGGGAGTGCTAAACGAAAGCAGTGGGGGGTTGAACTTGGATCAGCTTCGTTTTACCTCACATACCGTCACATACCTTAAACTTTAGTCCGGGTCCATACCTGTCGTACCGGTGCCATCATTAACAGATGCACTGCATCTTCTTGACCTTCGAGCTCGAGGGCTTTGCTCCAAAGGAGATCCCTTGTCTCAGCTCCCGGATCGAAGCAAGGCAGAGCTTGCGCAGATCCTTGCGCCGATCCAGCGTCGACCATGTCGGCTGGGCAAATGCGCACAGGAGAAAAACTGAGCAACGACTGCATCGTCCCGGGGATATATATATATACACAAGCATAGATAGATAGATAGATAGATAGATAGATAGATATAGATGTATATACGTGTGTATATATCTATAATCATATGTATATATATATATATGTATGTATCTGTATCTATATCTATATCCATATCTATATCTATACACATAAACATGTACATACACATACGTATGCATGTCATACATAATATGCATGAATGTTTGTTCGCACATGAAGCCGACCGGAATGTTCAGAACGGCAGCCGGCCTCCAATACAGTCAACAAGACTGGGTCGTGCATAATCTTCGCCTACATAATTACCAGTACTATTTTGGGGATCCCTACTTCAATTAAAGTATCATGGGCCCCAAAACCCTATTCCAAGTGTTAAGGTCCCTATAATATGGCCTCAAACCCTGATCTTGCAACCTCGCAGGCAGCTCCCAAGGAGTGCATGGCTGAGTCGGAAGCTGGCATGTCCATCACTTCAAATGTCGTCCTGAACCGTTGCTTCTCTGGCATCGACGATCCGACATTGTTATTTCAGGGGCCCTATTAGTTAGAATAGGGCTTGAGGGTATATTGTACTATATAATTAGGATGAAGGAGCCCCCAAAATAGTATTGGTAGTTATTTAGGTCCTTGCATTAGCAACAGGGTTGGCTGGAGCAGTCTGGAGGGACAAAGGCTGGTTCCTAGATCTGTTTCTACATCCGCGTTCAAAACTCCTTCACGATGTCCAAGGTGTGCTGCAAGACCCAGGCAGTCACGCAGATCGGTTTGCCGTGATTTCACTAACATGCGTCCTAAAGTGGGGCCGGTGCTAGAGCTGGTGATGAAACCGGTCGCTTTGCCCTGAGGCCGGCACAGAAGCCGCCTTCGCCCGTGTACTCCTCAGAGAGTTTTCGGTGGCTGGGTCTAGGGACTTCAGGATCTTTGTTTCCCTGCCGGTGGGCTCAAGGCTACAAAGCCCGATTCCCAACGGCGGCCCCAAAATTGCCACCCCCTAAAACCCCACAGAGCCCCTTACCCCTACGAGTCCCTGTTCTAATGGTTCTAAAGATTAAGACCCACCCCTGAACCTTAGACCCCTAAACCCTAAACCTTGAACCCTGAACCCCAAACCCTAAACCCCAAACCCCCCCTTCACATTGTGGTGAGTGGTGATCTTCAAATTACACCTCGACACTCCCGAAACCTGGCTTATTCCTTGTCATATCGTACTAGGTGTATACCACATTATGCTAAATTGTGGTACTATACTTCGTCCTATCCTATGATGTTTGCTTGTGCTCGGGATCGAGGATCGGATTCCGTCGGCGTAGCTGTTATCTACATAAAGAGACGCGAGCATCCCAACCTCTGCCCGACAAAGCAAGGGCAAAACGGAGCTCACGCACACGCAGAAGAGCATTGCGAGCATGGAGGGACATCCAAAATCTCTTTCACATGAACCCATCCCTTCCTTCCAATGTCCTTGACAATCACGGTTTGGGTCAACCTTGTAATCCTTAACCCCTCAACCCTAAACCCCTAAACTCTTCTCACTGTCGGCTAAGGCCGCAGCAGAAAAGACATGCCAAGAATGAGACCCTAAAGCCCTTCGCCCCTTCAAGCCACAAACAACCCTACAAACCCTAAGCGATAAGCTGACTAAGCCCCAAAAATCCTACGGCTTAAACCCCTCGCGCAGAGGCCGGTGCAGCGTCCCGCGCTCCCGCCCCCGCGGCCTCGGCGTCCCTTCCCTCCGTGAGCCCCAAGAGCTCCATGGAGATGCCCGGGCCTCAAACGCGTGAATATAAATGTATATTTGTAGCATGTATAAATATATAATTATATAATTAGATATATATATATATTTATATTTATATTTATATGGATATGTATATATATATATATGGATTATGTACCCCCCCCTCGCTGGGACCAACCTCGACCATGTGATTGCTCATGTGTGTCTGTGTGTCGGTACAGATGGAAGCCAAAACCCTTGAACAAATCGCTAGATTTCGTGTTCACGGCCGCGATCTGCACTCTCGACGCGTCTAGTCGGAGTGGTAACAAGCAGGGTCCTTTTTTTTACCATCTTTACTTGTTGTGATAATATGCTATGTGCGATGACATATCTCTGCTATCATTTTGCGGGTTATTCGCAGAGCCCATACTGCGGAATGTCAGAATCTGCTTGTGTAGGCGCGCACAGAGCATGCATGCAAGTTTGCACTTACTGTTCGCACTAGTGTTAGTATTCGTGCTAGTTTTGTGTTAGTATTAGTATTACTATTAGTAAGATTAATATTACTGTGCGTGTTGATTAGTGTTACTGTTAATGTTAGTGTTGGTGCCAGGGTCAATGTCAATGTCAGCGTTAGCATTGGTAAGTATTAGTCTCAATATAAGTCTATATAACATGTGTATGAATAGTAGTGTTAGTGTTAGTGGTAGTATTCGTATCAGTACTGGTCTTGGTCTTAGCCTTATTCTTAGTCCTAGTCTTAGTCGTAGTAGTAATCTTTTTATACTTGTATATTAGTATATTCGAATATTATTAGTATATTCGTATGTCATGATGTTCGTATATTGGAATATTCGTATATTAGTATATTGGTATATCGGTATATTGGTGTTGGTACATTGGCATATAAAAATACAAATTAATAGATTGATGTAAGTATTGAGAATAGTAATAAGAGCATGAGCATTAGTACCTGTAGGAATATTAATACTTATATTAACATTAGTAGTAGTAGGTGTAGTAGTAGTACTCACTCCCACGCGGACTCAAAGTGCTCGAGTGCAGCGAAGCCACTCATGCACACGTGTGCACGCCCACTCTGTGGCGGGGAAGGCTCTGGATCGGAATCCCATAAAGAGTCAAAGAAGCTATGCGGTGCCAAAAAGGCCTCAACTCAGGCTCGGGGCCATAGCCCTAGAAGGTCAAAAACCCGAGTAATGGAGGCAGAAACAGGGGGAACATACTTTGCACATCTGTACACTGCGGCCTCTCAGGAAGCATGAGTGTGAAAGGAAGGTGAAAACGAGCTACTGACCATGGCGAGGTCACCTCAATCCATGGTGCAACGATCTACGTCCGCTCAGTGTCACGGCGAGGTCACCTCATTCCATGACAGCAGGGCCGGAGCGCCACAGGCCTTCTCTGACCTTGGGCAGTGAGCAGGCTACGCGGCAGCTGCAACGGACCCATCTGAGCCAGCAGCAGAGGAGCGCTCTGAGTGCAGTCTGGCCTCGTCATTGCTGTGACCGTCCCGAGCAGGCACAACAAAAGCCAGGTAGGCATTGCATTCAGCGCAAGCGATGTCGTTTAGGGTCGCTCTGCGAGCCGGCTCGCGGTCCCCTTTCACGTACGTTACCCCGTCGTGAAAAAGCAAGGTAACATAATGACCGGAAGTGACAGTGCGACCAAGGTGGTATATGACTGACGTTAGTGCAAACGGTACCCATGTTACCTCGTCCCCGGTTTGGCACGGCAGTGTGAGACGCTGGTGTGAGCGCTCACGCAGGGCCAAGCGGAAGTGATGCTTGGTGACAGTGCCATCTGTTCGCACCTGAAAGCGCGGGAGCTGTAAA